TTTTCTTAAAAAACACGCGGGTTCAGGGTGTATATGTGTCAAAATCTGGTTTTAAAATTTTATTTTTCCTTCTCTCCAAACAGAACGCCCTCCCCTTTATCTTTTCTCTCAACTGTTCTTCAGTATGAAGAACAAGGGCCGTGGTTCCCAGAACACGGCCACCGCGTCGCCTTGCCGCCGCCGTTGAACGGTGACGGCCGCCGTTCATCGGCGGTAAAACCAGATTTTTTCTTTGTTTTTCAAAGCTTTTTAAATCTAGTTTTCAAAAATCAAAATATTTTCTATAAAAAATGAGCCTCGGGGGCTAGATCTACAAAAGAAGATCCTGAAAACGCCCCTTGTTCATCGGCTAAAACGCTTCTTTTGGGTTCTATTCGAACCAAAATGACGAAGAGACCATGCATGCAAGCATCTAAAGCGATAAAGGTACAAACTTTTACCTTTTCCTTCCGAAAACTTTGCGAGAATTCCTCTGTTTCACTAATATTTTCTGCGAATTTGCTAGGATTTTGTATCTATTTCGTGTGAAAAATCTCTTGTTATTTTCGTCCCCCTCAATGGGTTCTGAATTATATTTATAGGAATAAAAATCCTTTTTAGGTATTTACAACCGAATAAAACACTAATGCAATCTTTGTGTTGTTGGTGATGAATGGGTTTCATTCGCCGGACGCCTCGGGACTGTTGGAGGTGAGAGACGTGCACCGTGAAACTCGGAGGGAGAGTCGTGAGGCGTGGGATTCTCGGCCATGCGGCGCTGTTGGAAGCAACGCGTGGACTAGGGTTCTGGAAACCCTAGTTTCCAGGTGGGTTGCGAGCTTTGGGTCACTGCTGGACCACTTGTAATATTTGGGCCTGTAGAAAAAAAGAACCAAAATATGTATTATATTTATAATATTACATAGTAATATTATAATTCAATTTTCATAGTCGAAATTAAGTGTCTTCAATACCAAAAACTCACTTGAACCCCCGATTTGATTTTCCATTTACAGCCTTTATTTATGATATGCCTGCCCATTACAGACGCTCATATGTAGACTACATATGAAGGCTGTTTCAACTATGTGTTTATTTATTTATTTATACATGCATTGCATTTTACCTTTATTTTTAATTTTCTGACTGTAGGAGGTCTTCCACGGAAGCTGCTCTCAACCTGGCATTGGGGGCAGCCTACTATCCTACCTCCTCTTACCCCATTGCATATGGGAATAGGGTTTTGTTGTTGTATTTATGATATGCCTGGTTTTTAGAAATCCTTTGCCCGCGTTTGACATTCTACTATTTCCATCAAACTCTATAAACTTCTTACTTCAAAATTATTTTTCTTCAAATATTTTGCACCAAAGAACATCCTTTTTGTATGAAGCTTCCAACCATTTCTATTATAAGAGTTTTTCTTCCTGCCATAGAGAGAACTTTTCCTTTTCAGCCCGCTAGTTTCTGCATCACTTTGTCTGCCAAGTGTTTATAGGTGTTTGTGTTCGCTTTCTTATGAATGATGGGAGCACCTAAGTATGTTCCATGGTCAGTGATTTGGATTTTGCTTATAGAAGCCAAATAGGTAGAGTCTCTTCTGGTACATTCGGGGAGATGAATAGCTTTGACTTTTGGAGATTAATTACGAGATCCGAAGCCTTACTGAACTTTCTTAGGCATTCTTTCGCTCTTCCTACTTGAATCTTATTTGCTTCCATGAATAGTAAGAGATCGTCTGCAAAAAACTAGATGACTCAATTTAGTTCCCCCTCTAGTAATTTTCAAAGCTTCCAATAACCATTATTCACTTTCTCAAGAATCATGTGAGATAATCCATACTAATATAAAAAGATAAGGTGAGAGGGGGTCTCCCTGTCTTAATCCTTGATTTGGTTTGAAACCCTCTGTTCTTTCACCATTCCATAGAATTTCAATTTTGCTGTTTTAGATGCAGTAAAGAATTAGGGAGATTGTGTCTTGTGGTAGTCCAAAGTCTTCCAATGTCTTTTTTAGGAAACTCCAATTTACGTTGTCGTAAGCTTTTTGTAAATAAATTTTCATGATAATGGCTCCCTTACTCCCTTTTCTATTCATAATAGAGTGAACTACTACCTGCACAAGAAGAATGCTATCAGTAGAAGATCGGCCAGATAAAAAATTGTTTTGATAAGACCCAATTACACTTTGGAGGATAGGTCTAAGTCTGTTAATCAAAACTTTAGATAAAAATTTATAAGTAGTATTAAATAAACTAATAGGGCAAAACAGATAAATCCTGTTTACATCCATTGTTTTCGGAATCAACACCATATTGATTTTCAGTACTCTTTCCACCCCTGCTGTTTTCGATGCTTTTCATTCACAAAATTGAGAAGGGTCTGTTTCATCGTCGGCCACTGTTTTTTAAGAAAAATTGGTTGAATTCCATCTGGGCCAGGAGCTTTTAGGTTCCTCATGGAAAACAGAGCTTGTTTGACTTCCTCCGTTGAAGCTTTTTTACTGAGATCAAGTTTCTCCATGTTGTTTAACATTGGAAGGAAATTCTTATAGCTTGGGTTGAGGTCTTCCATCTATTTTCGTCTGAAAAGCTTTTTATAAAATTCGATCACATGCCTTTCAAGAGAAGCTTATCATTAACCCAATCATCATCCACGAACAAACCTAAAATCCTGTTATTTCTTCTTTGATCTTCATTGTAATGTTAAAATCGAGTGTTTCTTTCACCTTACAAACCCAATCAAGTCTAGATTTTTAGAGCCAAAAGATCTCTTCTTGGTTCAGCACCTCTTGATAATCTGCTAGCAGCTCTTTTTCCGGGTTTTGAAGATAATTAGAGTAGCTATAATGAATCAAACTTTGAATTCCTTTTAAACGATTTCTAATTTTCCTTTTCCTCTTTAAGATATTTTCAAAAGCTTTCTCTTTCAAATCTTCACAGCTTACTGGTTTCTTCAATAGCTTCCATAATATGCTATTTTTTCTATTCCAAGCTTCGGTAAAATTTCATTGAAATCCTCTTGGTTAAGCCACATCGCTTCGAACCTGAAGGGCCTTCTGCTTTTATCAATAACGTAATCTTTAGAGTTCCAAAGAATAGGATGATGATCTGAATATCTTTGATGAGTGGTAGGCCGAATGCAAGGGAACAGATTAATAGTTTCAGCGTTGTGTAAAAGTCTATCAAGTCTTTTGAAGAGTGGGAATCCCATTCTAATTTCTAACCCAAGTAAATTTCATACCCATCCGGCCAGAATCCATAATGTTACACCTATTCCAACATTCTCTAAACATCAGGATTTTGTTGATTCTATTCGATTGACTTTCTTTCCTTTCATCCAGAGCAGCTATGTCATTAAAAATCCCCATACTGATCCAAGGATCATTATTCTGGTCCGAGTACAGCTTAGGTCTTCCCAAAATTCTTCTTCTTTTTCATGAGGCTGAACATAAGCAAAACTCATTAGCCAAAATTTGTCGTTCTCTATCATTTCACAATGTATAACATGATCCGTATTATGTCTAATGGTAATCTCAATATCGTTAGTGTCCCAAAGAAGGCCAAGACCACCTCTAAATCCTTCAGCCGGAACTTCAAATACTGTGTCAAGCTTTAATTTTCTCCGAAGGCTTTCCCTCCCAATCATCTTTCGTTTCCAAAAGGCAAATAACTTTCGGATCTCTTCTTTCATTGAATCCAAACTATTTCTAGTAAAACTCGGGTTCCCAATCCCCCTGCAATTCCACGTAACTTTCATTGACGAGAGTTATGTGGTTGTTTGCCTCTCTAGAGGTTTGGAGGGTCGTGACCATGTGGCCCATTTCATTACCATCTGTTGTCTTGGAGCTTTGCTGGTTACTTGTTCCTGTTTTCGATCTTCATTCCTTCTATCTTCTAGCCATCAATATTCATTTTTCAGTAGCATCAAAATCTTTAGAGGAGCCTACCTGCGAGAGAATTGATTCTTTCAATTTACTTACTCTAATTTTGGTTTCCTCACATTTTCAAGTTGGGCTTTTCGGTTCCCTCTTCCTTGTTCTGTCTTCTTTTCCAATTCCTTCTTCTTACTGTTCTCAACATTCCTGGTTCCCGTTGCATTCTTCTAAGATTATCTCTTTGAAAATTGTTCCTTGATCACTTTCCCTTATGGGAATGTTTGAGGAATCGAGTTTTGAGAATGATTTTCCTGCTCTGTATTTCTTCTTCTCTAGAATACTGAAGTGATTTCCTCTTTAAGTTTTTCCCATATTTGGATTTGAATTTTTAATTCCCTTTGGCTAACCTTCGTCTTCTCTGAACTAACATCCAAGGGCCATATTCCTTATTCTCGTTGTTTTCCTCCAAGTTTTGTTTCTCTGTGTGGATCGATTCTTCCTCCTGTCGACTTATTTGTTCTTGATCATGTTGGGTTGAATCTTGATTTTCTTTTTGCGAATCTTCTGAAGCCTTCAAAATACATTGCTCTGTCCTGTGTCCACCATCCCGCATTTGAAACAAATTAAATGGATATACTCCACATTAATGATAGTATTTCCGATTTCAATTCTTGAAATCAGCGGTTTATTTAGATCAACTTCGATGCATATCCTAGAAAATTTACCCTTTGTTGACCAAGCTGTTCTATAATCGATCTTGATAGGAGTACCTATGATTTTCCCTATATTTGCGAGAATCCCTTCATCGAAATATTCCATTGGCAAGCCTCGAATGTGAACCCAGATTGCTGTAGACGAAATACTGGCACTACTTGCGTGGAAATTAGGTTTCCATTTCTGCACTGTTAAGTGATGATCCATAATCTTCCAATGATCCTCTGTCAAAAAATTAATTCTGTCGCTTGCATTCTGAAATTTGACTACATAGAAGCCATTACCCAGATCGATACTATCGAAATCCCCAGATAGTTTCCACATAGATGTGATTCTGTTCAGCAAGACTTTATAAGCCATCATTTTTCCCAAAACCTTGATTGTGAGGGTTTTTCTCCATGGTTTCCTAATTCTTGATTTGATTTCTGCAGATATTTTGATCGTCGAAATCCCATCTCAATTGGCTCTTCTCAGCATCTGAATCAGTTTCTCATCTTCTAATCTTTTTTGAGTTTATAAAATTTCCAGAAAAAAAAATAGGTTGATCCACCATTGTGTCAAGCCAAGATCTTGGACGCGGATCTTCCTCATGATTATCAGTGGCTCAGTTCGACCCCGCTTGTTACTGTTGGATTCTCCCAGAGTTTTCCTCTGCCATCGTCACCCCGGTGACGGCGGAGATTCCTCCATTTGGTAGCCAAGATTGGAAGCACGAAGAAAATTCAAGAAAAACCATATTCAAATACTGAAATTCATATCCATAGGACCATATCTAATATAATCCTTAAATTTAAATAACATAAATTAACAAACCTAGTTAACCAAAAGTCAAAAGTTAAAGTTTTAATGATGGCGAATAGTAAAAAAATGTCTCTAAACATCGATAAACAAAATCTGAAAAAAGTAATAAAAGGATTAGATAAAGAAAATTCACTTTTATTATTAACTTTTAGCTATTGTTTTATTCAACAATTGAATTTAGATACAAAGTCAAGTAATATGAATCTTAAATTCCTATTCATTACAATATTTTAATATAATTATTTTTAATTAAAAATTGGCACGTATATCTTAAAGTATGTTGTCAAATAAACAAATAAAATATGTCTCTAAATATTTAAGCTTGGTATTAGAGTAAATAGCTGGAGTCTTCATAATTAATTATGATTTAAATCTCGTCATATATGATTGTTTATAAATTAGTTTTGATTTACTTGAATATGTTTTTTTATTAAGGAGGAAAAACATTATTTCAAGAAGAATTACAGGCTTAATACATTCAAGTTCATCATAATAAAACCAACAGGTTGGGTCTCGACAAAACTCATTAAGCATGCGTATGAGCAACACGATTAGCATATGTATTAACATACAACACTTTCAAATCCTGTTAGCATTCAGCAACAAACGAACTTTGAATATATTCTGTTTATTGATCAAAGTGTGCTTCGCAACTAGGAATGGTCAAGTTATTTAAGTCTGAACAGGCTTAATACATTCAAGTTCATCATAATAAAACCAACAAGGTTTGGGTCTCGACAAAACTCATTAAGCATGCGTATGAGCAACACGATTAGCATATGTATTAAATACAACACTTTCAAATCCTTGTTAGCATTCAGCAACAAACGAACTTTGAATATATTCTGTTTATTGATCAAAGTGTGCTTCGCAACTAGGAATGGTCAAGTTATTTAAGTCTGACTAGTTTTTATCGATTCCTTAAGATTAATTTTTTTTCTTTTTTAAAATTTATACCTTTTTTTATAAAAAAAAATAGGTTTAAGTCAGATTAGATCAACTCAAATTTTTTTAATGTTAGAATTGAGTTGATTTGAATATAGAACAAAGATTTTCAATCCAACTTAAAATAATATTATAATTTCACTAGAGATATTTTGGAATAGTTTTAAATGTATATACTAGCTAAAAATTTTAAAATTGTTATATTTCTAGAATAAAGAGAGAACCCTCAATTATTAGTTAAAATAAAATTTCTCAACCCTATTAAGTATGAAGATGTCGAGATTTCACGTGCCCCTTTGCATGAGAAATTTTGGCTTGAAGACGTCAGAGATCTCAAAAATTTCAGGTAAGTACTATAGATTTTTATCCCATTTAAGGAAATAATAAGAAAAGTGCATTATTTGGGGAAATAAACCTCCCATATGAATTATTTCTGCCATTTTGCCCTGTATGACCGAGTCAAGTCATAATTTTCAGCCCCGGCAAATCGGAGCAAAATTTTACTTGCATTTCATTGGATCCTTTTAGTTATGATCTCCAATGAAATAATGACACCTGTTCATCTCACTTGTAGTTCTAAACTGGACAGGTTTCACTATTTCATTGGATAATTGAGGGAAAAGAAGAACAGAAAATCTCATATAAAAGTTTTGCCCGAGTCTTTTAGATTTAGACCCATCGACTTGAACCCCAAAATCACCCAAAGGAAAAAACCAAAATGGCGGATCACAAGAAGCATCAAAACCACCACCGTCTCAACCGCCTCTCCGCCTCCACGAGCCACCGGATTCACAACCCAAGCCCCCACCCCGAGATCTTACCCTCCGTATTCCTATCCTTTTCCATCACAACCCCAATTGCAACTCCCTCCAAACACCGCCTTTCCCTCCAATCTTCGATCGCTTCCTCTTCTTCCCAAAAGAAATCCTCCCTCTCTTTCCTCCTCTTTCCTCCTTTCCCTCCGCTCTCTTTACTCTCATCCCTTGATCCGCTCTTCTCCTCCTTCTTTCTCACTATTCCCTTTCTCTTTCCTCGTCTCTTTCCTCTCCTTCCTCCTCTCTCTCTCTTTTACCCTCTTCTCAAAAAAAAGCCCCAGAAATCTTCCTAGTTTCCCAATTTATTCTCTCACCAACCCTCAGCTCAAACTTCTACTCTCCAAGTCTTTCATTTTGTCGATTATCTTACTTCAGGTTCCAAGCTCTTAGATACTGGCACAGCTGCTATGATCTTAGCTGAACTATCCGGAAACCTTGCTGGCAGGCTTTTTTCCAAAGAGAAAACCCCGAAGAAAAGGTCTCACTTTATTGGGTTTTTCTTTTTATTTATTGGGTTGATGCTATTATCTCTAAGTTGGGATAGAGTAGATTGCTTTCCTTTAAATAAGACTGGGTTTTCCATGTATCCTAGAGAAGGCTGTGTTAGAATTTGGCTATGTTATTGCCGTTTTTATCTGGATTTTTTAGGTTGTTATGAGAAGGTTTCCATGGACTGGGGGGAGCATTAGACAGCTTGGTCCAAAAAGGGTTCGATTGATTTCATTGTTTTTCACTACCCTTATGCTTTTTGTTCCTGCTGTGGTTAGTTTATTTGTTTATGAAAGTGAAGGGGGAGACAATATTTCTATTGATAATTTAGGTTGGCCTCTGATGAATATTGTTGTCTTCGGTGTGATTTGAGTGAGAATTTCAGTGATGATGATGATAAGTTAATGAGTTCTAAAGATTTCCGGAGGGAGTTTGTGGTTACTTTGTACTATTATATTGGAGTTGTTTTATTTGAGGAGTTATCACTTTCAGGATTGTTGTTGTGCGGCTTGTTGTTGTACATTGCTGTTCGAGAGCTGGATCCTGTTTATACGAGTTATATTGAATTGGGGATGGAATCTTCCGAGTCTTTTAGTATGCCAATAATGAAACCTATTCAACATATATTGTGTGAGCGAAAGTCTCGGAAAATTGCATTGTTTCTATTGATTAATACCGGATATATGGTTGTGGAATTTGTTGCTGGCTTCATGAGTAATAGTCTGGGGTTGATATCAGATGCATGTCACATGTTGTTTGATTGTGCGGCATTGGCAATTGGTCTTTATGCTTCTTATATTTCACGGTTGCCTGCTAATAGTCAGTTCAATATGGTAGAGGCAGATTGAGATTCTATCAGGGTATGCTAATGCAGTTTTTCTAGTTCTAGTTGGGGCATTAATTGTGTTGGAATCCTTTGAGAGGATTTTGGATCCTCAAGAAATATCAACCAACAGTCTGTTAACTGTCTCTATTGGAGGGCTCCTTGTCAATGTGGTCGGTTTGATATTCTTTCATGAGGAGCATCATCATGCACATGGCGGATCATGCTCGCACTCGCATTCACATTCTGTTTCCCACTCTCACGACCATCATCATCAGCATTCACATGATCGTGAAAGTCATGTTGAACATCATGATTTTATAAATATTTCCGACGGATGCCCTGATTCTTGCTCCAGCCATGAACACCATCACAGTAACCAGCATCGCGGAAACAATCACCATGGCAAAGATCACAAGAAACGTGAGTTTCATGGCCACCATGACCATGATCACAATCAAGCCCCAGATGATTGTGCCAGCCATCATGATCACCTGGACCATGGACATAAACATGAACATGCTAGTCATGACAACCATGATTCTGCCATCATCATGGTCACCATGACCATGGACATGAACGTGAACATGCTCATAGTCATGACAACCATGATTGTGCCCACCATCATGATCACCATGACCATGGACATAAACATGATCATGCTCATAGTCATGACCACCTGATGTGCCCACCATCATGATCAAGGCCTGCACTCCACACTCTTTATTCCGAACCTAAAGGTAATTTACGACAGAAGCACAAGCATCAACACATAGACCACAATATGGAGGGAATCTTCTTGCATGTTCTGGCAGATACCATGGGAAGTGTTGGAGTTGTTGTATCGACCCTTAATTAAGTACAAAGGAGGCTTGTTGCTGATCCTGCATGTTCAATATTCATTTCGGTTTTAATTAATCATCAGTTATCCCGTTACTTAGGAACTCCGCTGAAATTTTGCTTCAAAGAGTTCCAAGGGCGCAGGAGCAGGGTTTGAAGAAGGCCATCAGTGATATTACAAACATGAAAGGGGTATGTCGTGTTCACAACTTGCATGTATGGAGCTTTACAAACTCGGATATCATTGGAACAGTTCACCTTCACATATCTGCAGGAACTGACAAGGCTGCTATGAAATCACGAGTGTCGCATATCTTACATGATGCCGGAATCAAGGACTTGACGTTGCAAGTTGAATGTGTTGAACCGATCCTAGGTTACACTGATGAGAATAGAAACTACTAACTCATTCATTGTAGGACTGAATCTAATCATGATCTAAGGCAACAGATTGCTCCAACTGATATGCGCTGTTGTTGAGGAGTGCGGCGTTCTCGGTTCTATCTTGGAGCATGTATATACTCGTAATAATCGAGTTCAGCATCGATGCTTTTCATTAAGGAATAGAAAGAAAGGTAAACATTTATATTTGCCACAGATGGATCAGTGGTAGTGTCTTCAGAACCAAATAGGACTGTTAAATTCCCAGAGGTTCAGCTCCAAACAAAAATATTTAATTGGTTATGTGATGAAACAGGCAATGTTACATTATTACCTTTTGCGTGATCTGCAATCCTTTTCTTTAAGATCAGATTGCATCATCCTTTATTTTATTCTTCACCAACTTATCTGAGAGATTCATAGACGGGATGCTTCCTACAATCCATCGGTGAGATATCAATTTATAGACTTGTTTATTTAGTATTTTGCCTAACTTGCTTTAAAATACAATTAACTAATTAGATGCTCATTTTGGTGGGATTTAATTTTTCTATGCTTAGAATTTAGGCTTAAAGTAAAAATATTTAATCATTTTAAGTCTTATCGTTTTTTCAATTAGAAAAATATTTTTCAACCAATAAGATGTTGATACGTCGTATAAAACTAGGCTTGTCTTAACTTTAGGTTCTTAAAACAAAAAGAATCATAGTTTAAAGACTTACTTTGACTAAAAATAATAATTTAAGCACTTAAAACAAAAAAATGACAGTTTAAGTAATTTTT